GGGGCAGCCGAGGCGGCTAGCGAAATGCAGTTAAATTGCAAAGGGAGGGGGGTGAAAGGGGGTATGTAAATCCGCCGATCCGTGCTTTTTATTACGCCAAATCCGCCGATCCGTGCTTTTTTTTCACGCCAAATCCGTCGATCCGCCAATATTTTTCTTCAAATCCGAAAACAAAATTACATCCGGAAAGGTAAATGTGAATGCCAGTAATTTCGCACAAATAGTAAAGAAGGCAACATGCTTATGACTATAGCACAGTCTCACACCCGAGTTTAAATGAGCTTTGTTCGAAAGAAAAAAAAAAAAATTTGGAAGAACTCATTAACATACCGACTAAGGCTGTACTGAGAAAGATCTATGATCCAAATTTCGTTTAGGACCCAAGATCCGAACATCAAGACAGGAACAATCCGGAATCCGCGCCAAAATTCACAGCTGATCCACGATCCACTGTGTTTTCAAAATCCGCGAATCCGCTCGATTTGGCTGCAAAAATCCACAATCCGTGCGCTTGTTAAGGCCAAATCCGTCGATCCGAAAACCTATTCAACCCCCTCCTTAGGAATGGGGTTGGGGGTCTTCAGTGAGGTTCTATGAGAGTTAGCTCTGGCGGTCTAACTTTTCGGCTGATTCACAATTGAGCTTAGTACCGAACTCTATAAAACTGTCTTTCAGCTATTTCAACACGAATTTTAAAGCTGTTAAATATTTCGACCAGTCGTGTACCAATGGGTCCGTTAACCGGTCGTGAGTTTGACCCTCACACGGACCAAAAATGCGATCTTTTGGGCCTGTTTGTTTTGAGTCATGTCTTTTATCTTCGTTAAACAAAGGCGATGCGCTTACAGTTATTTTTTTCTTTTCTTAGATCAGTTTTCGCTGGAACAGAGACTTTCAACCATGGCCATGCCCGGGAGCCATGCATGGGTTAATCTCACGCGCGTGATTCGCGCGCGGCCTGTTAGTCTTATTTTTGCCATATTACAAAGTTCTTTTGATATTTTCAGTGGTACATTTGATCTTCTAGTGATCAATCGGTGACTCTTAAAGATACTTGCATGACATTACGCTAGGCGGTAGAAACCGTAAATATTCTTTTCTCGGCTTGTAGCGGTGGCAAGCGTGTACAGTTTGAGTTGTGTGACGCACTAAAATTTAGACTCTATCAAATGAAAAATCAATCAATTTTAGCCAAATCTGGCAAGCTGATACGTATTTCTAGAGATAACTTTTTTAACATTTCTGATTTCTTTTTTTTGTTTAATTTGATTTTTCTTTGTACTCAGCTGTCATATCTGTGACTGAAACTCTGTTGCTGTATGTAAGATTGCGTGACATCAGCTGATCATTTGTAGCCAATTGTTTCGAGACAGACTGTCAATATCAAATATGTAAAACAAACATTTCTGTGTCACCGCCGGCCCATCCTTCAGCGCTCGTACTGGGTGGATCTCGTGCATTCAATCCTACATACCTCGTATTCCATCTTCCGCTGCGAGAATCTTCTGTGTCTGAAAATTAAGCGGATTGGCGTCTCTGATCGTCTTCACTTCTCAAAATGGCTGCGAACTGCGGATGGCTATGGTCTTTCATCTGGCTTCTCCTTTTGATCTGTTTAGCTTGGCCACTCGGGATTTTAGCTGCAGTGCTGTACGCGATCTTTTCACCTTTCGCAGCTTGTTGTAGCCCGTGTACAGACTTTACAAACTTTCTAATGGAACATGGCGTGAAGCTACCCTATACGGCCGCTACCAACATGGTTCACGGCCGATCTGGTTGTTAAAATTCGGTGTGGAAAAGTTACGGGAACCCTGTTTGTGCTTTTGAAGACGCTCTGTTGTTTTGTGGTTAGTTTGATGGCTGGGGTATGTAGCACAAGAACACACAGATTATATTGATCTGCTACAACTCGAGGATATAGAAAACAGCAGGTCACTTCATTAAACTGGGAACTGAACAACTGAACTTCCGAAAACGGAGCAAAATGAAGCTTTACTTGAACAAGGACTACTCTTGCTTAAATTTGTTACAAGGAATGTATTGTAATTTATGCTTTCTCGATCTGTGTTATTTTATTCGAAATTATGTTGATCTTTGTGTAGATTTGTAGCGTTGATGACCGTAGATGGAAATATTGTGTAGAATGTTCTGTTGTCAGGGATCTTGCTTGCGTTGGCCCTAAGCACACTGAAGATCCGAAAGCTAATAGAAGGTTAGATCAATGAAAGTGAGAAGTCTTTTGTTTGCCTGAAAGTTACTGAATATATTCACGGTTGAATGGAAAATGAAAGTAATTATTCGTTCTTCCGTTTTGTCCTTTGCGTACCCGTTTCACAAGTGGTTACAAATCTACAAGAAAGTTAAAAATACCGGGTCAAGTTCGTAAAAAGTGTGCGATGTCTAGTTTCTTCAGAATTACATAGCATTTTTGATTAAAATTTATAACACGGAAAACCACGGTTGCATTTTTATCGAGTTATAATTAATGGGCGGTGGTTTGTGACCCAAAGAGATAACCTTTTTCATTGGCTCATCAGATATTTTCAGGGTGACTGTTTTTATCATATTTATGGCCTACAATACCCAGTTGGAGAGCAGACATTTGCCGTGTCAAACCAGAAAAGTATGGAAATGAAACTGAAAAGCTAAATTATGCATAAAAATGTCACATTTTTGTCAACCTTAGTTCAATTATAACTGTATCTTTTGAAGTCCTTCAAATATTTATGCCAGTGACCATTTTCATTTTTGAAATAAATTTGAGTCCAGACAGGAGCACGTTAGCTGCACTATTCTCACCTAGAGAATAACAGGTAGCACTGTACCCAAATACAGTTTTCATCACCAAAATGCCAAACATCCTTCACAATTGGGGTCTGTTTGCAACATGAAACGGCAAAATGACAAATAGCACTATGGTTAGCCTAAACAGTGCTCCGTTAGCCTAAATGTCACTGATTTTTCACCATTTTGTGTTTTAAAAACTCCCTCAAGATTGTAATACATATATTCCCTTGTTATTAAGGGATCGAGC